ACGGGCGCAGCGCGCGGCCTCATAAGCGGTGGTCTTGTTCACGAGGGGCCTAACTGCCGCCCCACGCCCCATTACCATAAAAAACAAGACGCTTTCAGAGCGCTTCAGCTAATAGTGCGGGGCGGGGGCTGCGCCGGGCGCCGGGCCGCCGATCGGAGCGCCGGAGTGAATTTGTAACTGTGGCGGCAGAGTGGGCCGGCCCCAGGCCCACACGCTCGAAGGCAACGCACTGAGGTTGTTTTAAGGAGTTTGAGCTCCGCTCGGCTCCGCTGTACTGGGTAGTGGGCTGGGTGTGGCGGGGTGTGGCGGGGTGTGGCGGGGTGTGGCGGGGCAAGGAGGAGTGGCCGGCGCAGCCCGATGAGCCCTCTCCGGTTAAGCGCGCCCAGCATCAATCGAGTGGCCAGAGGATTAGCATGAGCGAACTCTGATCGCCCGTTTGACCTCCAGTTGGCTGGCAGGCTGGCTTACTTGGGTTCACCCCGCAAGCACAGCGCAGCACAGCACAACATAGCACAGACCCGGAGAGACGAGCAAACTCACTTGCAGAATGGTCTGCAATTTAATCACGCAGTCATTTTCGTTTCTTCACCGCTGTCACCGAGGATAAGTGAGACAAAAGCGTTATCCCATTCCTTTCCATTTTTGTCTTACAAACGAATGTTTTATAAGCTGCAGAAATGTTGTGGGGACCTTCAGTAACGCCTCGCGAAATAACGGTTTAAACTAAATAAGAATTTGCAAGCATAGCATAGTGGCCAGTTCATCGTTTTGGCGAGGTACCGATACACGATCTTATCCTCAACAGAACAGACTGGTTTTGTATTGCCAATTTGACAAATTTTTCCTCTGCTACAGAGGGACACAGCTATAATGTCAACATTTCAGTCCGTAGTTTAATGACACACTCATTCCTATGTAACTTCACACAATTTTGAAATTTTTGCCAACAGCAAAGGAGGAGATATTTGTTTGGTTCGAACATTTTAAAACGTTTTATTGTGAAAACCTCCAATAAGAATGTAAGAGTGTAGCGTATTAGATCACTGTGTGTGACTTACCTGCAGCTGCTCGGACCACAGACAGTTGGTGGAGTTGTCCAGCTGGTTGTCGGCGTGCTGGCGCTGCGGCTGCCGCCCGTGGCACAGTGCCGTGTGCGGCGGCGTGCGCCCGTACTGCGCTTGCTGCACCGAGATGCTGGTGCCGGGCGGGCAGTGCAGCTGCACCGTGTGGTCGTCGCACCCGCTGCGCGTGTAGGTGCGCAGCGTGCCTGAGAGCAGGGCTGGGGTGTTAGTCCGGCAGTTCAATCAACCAGCGACCACCAAATCAATCAATCAACACGTCATTTTTTTTTTTTTTTTAGAAACAATGTATCGGAAGTAAGGAACATTTAGGTAAAGGAAAACATTACACGCAAATCATTAATTTTGAATGTTAAGCAAAGTCATGATAAGATAGGTTTCCAAAGGTCGGGTTTGAACGAATATTATTATTCCAAACATTGGTTAAAGCGGATCGCGACATATAATTAATCATGCAGAAGACAGGGATGCGTTTTAAAAGCATGCGGTTAAGGTGGGCGGTTGTCGAGAACAACAAATTAAAGAGCATGAATGAAAAGATAATTCGTCGCACCAACACAAACATTACCAGTCACCATCACCACCACAGACATCACCAACAGCCACACAGAGGCACCAGGTGCAGAGAGGAACGGAGCAGAACGCACGGGTCGATCGAGTCCAGCGTGCGAAAAAAAGAGAGAAACAAACGGAGGCAAAAGTTAGTTAAGAATACCACGTCCACAGCAGAGAGAAAGGACGATTGGGGGAGGGGGGAGGGGGAGGCAGCTACAGAGGAGAGACAGAGAGACGTCGCTATCTCAAGGTCAGATGGGGGAGGAAAAGAGAAAGAGAGACGAGACAGCCTGATAGAGTTTTAGCTTCTCCTGTTTTGTTTCTTCATTCCTTTCCTTTTTTTTTTACTTTTAGGTCCACCTGATCTGATTTTGGAAACGACACTGTCTCTTGCGGCAGTGTCGGGGCAGTGTACCCGAACGGGTGAAGAGAGCGTAAGGCAGGGAAGGAACAGGAACAGCGAGATAAAGGTAGACAGAAAAGAAAGTGCAGGAGACGAACGGTGTCGAGCGCTGCGCGGAGTACGGACAGACTTACAATGTCACGGATACAACTATCACGGCGAACAGGCAGAGCGCCGCCCACGCGATCCGTGTGGCAATTTTGGCAAAAGGCAGAATTCCCTTTCCTCCCCCTTTCGCATCGGGAATATTTCGCGGGAGTAGGTGGCGGGGGGCTCCTTCTGCGAGAGGCCTCGAGCGCGGCGCCCCATGTGGGGCGTCAGCATTGGGTCGGAGAGACGGAGAGAGGGGGAGCGTCATTTCCATAAGGTACGCAACGCTCAAAAAGAGGGGTTCTCTCAGTCTTAAAAAATCTATTTCTCTCCATCCTTTTTTGCATATAGCGAGGCCTAGTATTCCTAAAGTACTGCTAAGTAAGTATGCGGAAGGAAGTGGGGGGGAGGGGGGATGGAGTTATTTTCTTTTGGATTTGGAAATAAGTTCTGAGACTGCATCTATCATGTTTGCGGTTCTTCTCGCTCAGCTAAGTTTTGTGATTTAGATACAATCACTTAATTAGCCTTTTCAAAATACGGGCAATGACGTAAAAAACTCACAACTTTACAAGTTTACTCCAATACTTTTCTGTTATGGCGTGCTCAGCAGTAAGTCGTGCCCACTCCACCGCTACACCAGACCAGGTACGGGACACCTCACCTGCAACAGAAGAAAGGAAAGGAAGATTAAGAGCAGGCCGAGGGTTGATCTGCACGCGCTCACAATTCAATTTGTTTTAATATCACTAAAAAGTACAGGACCTGCCCCGGAGAGCCGGGAAATGTAGCCTGAAACAATTAAATACAACAAGAGGAAAGAAGAGAGGATGGCGAGGGGGTGGGGGTGGGGGACGAGAAAGGGACAATTAACAAAGGACGCCACTGTCTCCTTTTTCAATAACGTTTTCTGAGTCCGTGAACGAAATACTCTCGCACTTAAGGTTCAACCGCGAAGAAATTGTGGAGTTGTACACTATCTGTCCGATTTGGGCCACCTTTATGATGGTCAAAGGTGGAAGAGGTTTACATCCGCTGGCAACTTACCCACGTATTTTCCCGCTAAACAACGCCTCTCTTTTCGCGAAAGTTTTCACGGCCAGCGTAAGAGAAGCAGGCGTGCTCCTCAGCGGCGGGTAGGTATTTATAAGCCAACTCGCGAGTACAAAAGAACACCCCCGCCCGGCCGGCCACGCACCAGAGAGAGGCAGCCGAGGAGGCAGCGGCCCCCGGGAGGGGCGAAACAAAGGCAGGAGCAACGACATCCGCACAATTTTCTTTATTTCCCTCACTTTGCTCCGCGCGCGACGCTGCCAAATACAATTTATGAAAGGGACGTGACATTTTTGTAAAAAGTCGGCTTAAAGTCGTTGCGCTGCCGTCGTCGCGGCGGCGGCGGCGGCAGCAGCGCCCAGCGGACAAACAGGGGGCAGGTGAACATACATCACGAACAGGGGGGGTGGAGGGGCTGGTGGCGCCACTGATCCGGCACCCAGGCGCGGCGCCACGCCCCGCCCTACCTGCTTCACACCACTCGCTCGCCACTCGGCCCGCATGCACGGTCCCTATCCCCGGCCCCTCCTTTTATTCGTTTCTCCTCTCTCCCCATTCCCGGGGCAGTTTAAGGACGGCGAGAGCGGCTCGCCGCGCGCCGCCGCGAGCGTCCGAATTTGAATTTTCCCGCGCGCGAAGCGAGGCAGCCAGTGAAATACCGGAGTTGTGCAGGCAGCATGTGGCGGGCCCCACCTGGGACTCACCCGCGCCCCGCCCCACCCTGCCACGCCCCACCACGCCACGCCGGCTCCTGCCACGCCCTGCCTGCGGCAGCGGCGGTCTGTTGTCTGTTGGCGGGCAGGACGATTCATGGGGCTCACATGAACGCACACCCCCATGGCGCTGCGTGGCGCCGCGCCCCACCACGGCTTTAGCCCGCCCCGCCCCACCCGCCCCGCCCCGCAACACACAGCGCCAGGTGCCTGATGTCGCCACCCACGCCGCATGCAAATGAGATAGAGTAGCGTCGGTCGGTTAAGAAGGCATCGGCCTTGGCGGTCTGGACTGTGAAGACGACTGCATTGTTGATGTGAACCCTGATGTTCGGCAGTGTCCTTGACAGCCTGGCGGGGAGGCTGATTCTGGCTGCTAAGCTGATAAGCTGCTCGTTAGCAGAACGCGTCGGCAAGTGTGCCGCTCACCTGGCCGCAGCGCTCCACAACAACCCTCGCCGCCTGCCTCTCTCTCTCTCTCTCTCTCTCTCTCTCTCTCTCTCTCTCTCTCTCTCTCACACACACACACACACAATTGGAACATCCAACTCCCTCTCTGCCTCGCTTTCGCATCAAAAATAGTCACAGCGTGCCGCGCGTCCCCGTCGACTCAAACATTAACAAGACCGAAACGAAACGAATCCACAGGCGGGGTGGGGTGGGTGGGAGGTGGTCGCAGCTATTGTCGAGAACATCAGTGGGTGTGGGAGGAGGGGGTGCGATGGGTCACGGGCTGGTCGCGCGCTGTCGCTCGGTTCACGACTGTGATGGGGCACCCTTAATTAATATCACTCCCGCCCCTCTGCTATTCCCACCACGGCGGCGCCCGAATCTCTCTCCCAGCCCTGATTTTTATCTCCCAGTCAGGTGCAAAGATTGGCGAGGCCTTCGTCCGTCTGTAGGCGCGCTAATTGTGTAAAGAGGGCCCCCCTCCCTCAAGGCCGCGCTGTCGCCGGGGCTGCCGCTGGGGCTGCCGCTGGGGCTGCCGCTGGGGCTGCCGCTAGGGCTGCCGCTAGGGCTGCCGCTGGGGCTGCCGCTGGGGCTGCCGCTGGGGCTGCCGCGCCGCGGATGGGACTGGACAGGGATTGGATGTAGGGCGAATAACAGAGGTGAGTAATCGTGCAGCGCGGTTGTCCAGCCTAAGAGAAAAAAAAACAACACACGCTGCTAAGCCCCCTACACACAATAACACTTGCGTGGTAAACAGCAGGAGGATTACGTCTTGTTGTTTTTTATTTATTTTTTGGGGGTTTAGGTTTTTTTTATGAGGCAGTTGTTTCTATTGCTTTCTCTGCGCGCGCGCCGTGTCCGCGCCCGTCCTTCCCTACCTGTGATCACACAAATCGCACAGCGCATGCATGCATACAGATTGGCGGACGCTTTTTGTGTTGCGGCATGACCCCGCACACGCCGCCGAGGCCCGGCCCGGGCCCGGCTCCGGCACCACCGCATTCATCAGAATAGGGAAGCAGATGTATCGACAGCGCTTTTCACAGCGGCGGGGCGCTGCCGGGCCACGCGGACTCTCCCCCCGCCCCGCGACCACGCGGACAGCGGGACCAATCACAGCTCGTCAGCCGCCGCCGCAGCGGCCAATCAGCGCGAGGGTGGCGAGTATCGCACTCATCACCCGGATGCAATGTTAAACAGCCGCCGGTAATGTGCGGCAGAATCAAATCTAAACACCACGCTCTAAACGAGCGCGGGACTGCACTAATCTGTGCAATAGTGTGGCTCCAGTTGGAGAGTACTCTCAGAGGAGGAGGAGGTAATTTAGTATAAATTACGAGTTGGCAGGTTGACGCGTTGTATTCCCGCACACGTTATCGGCGGCTGTTTAACATTGCATCCGCGTGATGAGTGCGATACTCGCCACCACGGGACCCACACAAACGAGCTTATATTGCGACCAAAGTTAGGAAAGAGCCTGGTGGTGCTCAGAGTTGCTGCAGCGGTGGCTCGCCTGCCTACCTGCCGCCGAGGGCGATAGGGTGGGCCGAACCGGAGCGGGTCAATGAGTTGCGGCGGACGATGAGGAGGCAGTAGTTAAGAACTGATAACATAAGCTCTCTCCTAGTTTGGTCGCACTTAGACCTTCTTGTCAAACAGGAAGAAACAAGTTAATAATACTATGGACATTTCAAAATATCAAATGAAAAGAGTCTGGTAAGAATTTAAGGGCATAAAGTAATGATACAGTAACATTGGGCGTGTGATGGAGCGTATATTACGACATACATTACGAGCTATTTATAATGCTGGACTATTAGAATTTTGAATGTCGATTTTTTCAGGTATGAGACGAACGTAGCAAAAGCTTTTTCGGTTTTCCTGGAAACCTTCATGGACCCTACGGCCTGACAGTGACGTAAGC